ATTGCATTGTAAGAGCCACAAGTGCCACTGGTGGGGAGGCAACTTTAATAAAACTACAGGTATGCATTTAGAAGTCGCCTTTATTTTCAAATTAATTTTTACCTGGATTTTTTCAGGTTTAAAATTCAACAACCTAGCTTGTTCTAGACAAGAGAAAGTTATCTAAAGCAGACGCTCTGACGTAATCAGAGATATAATTGAAATTGAAGAGACACCAGTCTGCGGGAACGCTCGCTAAAATTTACTGACACCAAGTAAATGATACGTCTGGTGTCAGAGGGCGGCTACTAATAGCTATTTCTATCACTTAGTTGCATTTAATTAGCCGTTGTTTATTGCATGTTACTAGCGAAACAAAACAAACGCCGATATCTGGCCTTGTCACGTTCTAGATTGTTAACATCAATCAAATTAATTTTAGTTTCATTCTGTAAATAGAACATTGTTGTACCCATTAGTAACAACAAAATTAGGGCAATAGTTTATTAAGATAACGGTTATATTGTCGCGAACGTTTGGCGGACGGCTTTGAGAATTGAGCCGACAAATTATACCTTAATAAAACAGATTACATCTCAATGCGATGAAGAAAGTATCACAGAATTACTTGAAACTCAGGTTGCAAACCAGATAAAGATGTATGACGTTTATCGAAAAACCAAAAAATTACAACTAAATGAGTAAAACAGAAAATAACGTAACAACTATTAACGCTTAGTTTTTTTTGTTATATTTTATTTCAACATGAATCTTCTATACATACTTTTTTCTCAAGTCGTTCCTCATTCTTCCCTTCAACATGCTCACAACTTACAACAAACCATTGTAGGTACAACGTTATTTATTTATCACTAAGTCTAACAATATTATTATTATGAATTTTAAAATTAAACCTCCTAAGAAATCGGTGTTGCGTGCAACAAAGTAGCTTTAAACATATTGGCAGCATTCAGTTGCTTAATGTCGGCTCGTAAACTTAAACACAACAGTTAGTACCAAAAAGTTTCACAACACGTAATATATGAACACTATTTCATATAAGCTTTCACTATTATAAGCTTCTTGCTAATTTTGTATTTCTATACTTAACACATCAAAAACCATACAATGTATCTTATTGCGAATACAACATGTGTTTAATTTCAAAGTGTTGAAGTTAAAGAGAGAGTCGATTTTATCACATAAACCACTCGAAATATGTATTTAAAGGTCTGTAATGCAATACCATGCTTTTATTATATTTTGTACTATGATAAATGCACAAAATTACACCAGATGTAACTAGTAATTAAGTTTTCGTGTTATACTCGTATGTTTCCTACTTTTCCATCAAACTAGTGTGGTGGCGCCAGACGCCGCGCTGACAGCTTTCAAACCTATCATTCTAATTCGAGTGAATAATGGACAAGCGCGATAAGAACTTTGTGACTACATATTGCGGTTATAATATAAATGGGCAAATATTATCTTCTCATTAAACAGAGCACGCTAATCTGTTAACTATATTGTTAAGGAAAGGCGCCGATGTCTGTCACGCAGTCCATACTATGACAGGCTCAACTCATCTGTGTAATTGTGTGTAAGTATAAACATTTTAATAAAATAATTAATTGAAAAAACTTGTTGGTTCCTGGCGAATGATATTTATATATTTTTGAAGCGATGAATGCGTTAATATCAATTTAAATCAGATTAACATATTATAGCACATAGCTTCCGATTGCAACATATTCAGCCATCTTCGCGCCTAATCCTTAGCTGCATAAAACTGTACGTTTCATATCTGTACACCTATGTATACATCTGGTACGGCCCAATTACAACGCAATTAATTCTCATTAACGTGTACAGATTCATCAAATTGTCGCATTGTTTGTAAATAGAAAAGCTATTTTAAGAGCAACAATTCGCAAAGAATTAATATACATAATTATAGTGAGGGGAGTCAGTGACTCGCAAGCGGCAAGCAACAAGTGGCATCGTCTGGCACACGTCCAGTCACTGAACCTGATCTCTCGGGATATTCCATCCCCTGCTGTTTACGAGTCTCAGATAATGACAGCCTATTACACGACCACTTTGAATTGCACCTTACGATAATTTCGCGTGAATACACTAGGCGCCCGAGATAAACTCGTTTTGGTAACAATGTAAGGTGCGCTTAGTGAAACATTGTTATACTTGGAGACCGCCTGCGTAGTCGTTACAAACTTTTAGTTTGTTTTGTTTATTTTAATACAAATGTTTTTTTAATAAATGCACAATTATTAATGATGAATACAAGTAGGTAGCAAAGTGTGATCGTGGCGGTTAGATGGGTAATATTTATCATATTTGAAAATAACAATAGAATGGAGTAAAGCATTTTTTTTAATGTAGTATCAATTAACTTAAGAGTTACGAAAAGAAATAATGGATATCTGCTTGCCCTTGCTGAATCGTATGATAATACAAAAGGCGTGCGACTTTCGCATTGTACAGAGATAAACACGTTAAATGCCAATGTATTTATGTGCACTCGTCTGCATCTGACATAACCACAGGTAGCTATGAGTTTCATAATGTTTTCTGATTAACAAATACATTAATTTAATAAAACATTTAAAGAAATTATTTTGAGTCAATTGTAGTTTAGCAAAAATTAACTTATTGAAACGCTCTGAATTTTATTTGTTAAGAATAAACTTCATATTATTCTCCTTAAAAATAATTCACTTTTATTAAATCAGAACCACAGGGCAATTGAGCGAATATTTACACCTCGAATGATGCGATCCTAGTAAAGATACAAATAGATGTCAAATATCTTTAAAAGACTCATTGGGTGTTTACTTCTGTTATCCTGAAAAAGATAAGTAAATACCGTCAGTAAGCATCTTTTCCCAGAAGTAAGGAATTAAAATACTGATAACACACATAAAAAACATACAGACGAATTGAGTACCTCCTTCTTTTGGGAAGTCGGTCAATAAATTGTGTAAGAGGGAGTAACAAAAGGTATTACGAAAGCTCCCACATGTTTCAATATAGACGTTTGTCCGTTAACGAGGGTTTCATTTGCAGGCGTCAAATTAGATTTCGTCGAAGACAATCAACACGAGACGAGACCTCTTTACATGAGTGATTCATCTTCATCAAATGAATAAGATGAATCTAAATAGATAGCAGCGGTGATACTTTGCCAGACAGCGCGCTTCGAGACGCTAAATTGATCCTAATCACAGCAATACTTTTCTACTCTTCCGTATTAAAATTGAGGAAAACTTAAAATTTGTTAAATTAATTCGATTTCGATAATGTAACAAACCCTGAATTAAAGTACCAATCAGTTTTAACAATTCGATTGAAATTGTCATAACAAAAAATAATCCAACAACATAAGTACAGTCGCGTACATATCGCGTCGGTATTATATCTTGCAATCGATAATCATTTGGACTTTTTTATGCCTTGAAAATTTGAAGGTTTTAACGTATTATTCCATATTATACAGGAGAATAATCAAAATAAAACTGTGATTTTCATATGATCAAAATACGGATAGCAACTTAATTGTAATTTATATGAAGGAGGCGAAGTAATTTTTTTCGAGATGCAAGGCAAATTTTCTGTAACTGGAATATTGCGAATGATGGCGACTGTACATCTTGAATTTCATGTAAGTATGGTAGTAACCTGAGGTCGATCCCCCGAGTTCGGATTAATAAAAGTATTCATTACCAACACAAGTGCTGCTTTACATTATATCCCCATATCTTAAACACTTAAGCTTAAGGAATAAATCGATATTTACTAATGTATTACTTCGTAGCAAAGAAAGAGTTTAGAGAACTTATAACGTTGAAATTATACAACTCACATTTGACGTTCAATTTAAAACCAATTGAAAGGCTTGGTTAAAAATGACGCTATTTGTTACTTAAAAAACCGAAAAAAAAACTAGAGTAACTTCCCGTCTCTTGAGTAAATTTTCTGGGAAAGAAAAAGAATCAAATGATACCACGATCATCAAAATCAATTCTGTTAATGAAAAAGCATTAACTATGTTTCTCCATATTGAGTCTATTGAATCAACTGATTAGAAATTGAATATGTAAAAACTCTCATGGCAACAATCACAAAAGGTAAGCAATCACCAACAGAATATGAGCATAATGCGTTGTTTTAAGACGAAACGTGTCTCATATTCGAGCATACGAGCCTGCTGTGGTCTTCGAAAGAAATAATTATGAACATCACCTCCTACATAAACGCCATTGTATTCTTCGTGATTAGAATCGAGTTAATATGTTAAAAAAATCTAATTATAATAATTAGACCACGTTAATCTATTTTTTAATCAAATTTTACATGTTTGTCAAATTGTCAATTGATATTTTATACCTTTTTCAGACTTCTCAACCGGCCAAATATTTGGGACCTCATTGAAAAGCGTTAAATGTTTACTCTCTCCCTTTAGTTTTAGTCCGGCTGTAGATCCATCCCTACAGTTAAGTTCCGTCATAGTACTAGGTAGTAACAGTGCGCCAAATTCCATCCTCACCTCTTTGACGGTAAGCATTCCACAATTTTTGTGTAACATTCTACCTCGCACAGTCGCATTACAGAATAAAACGTACTCAGCGGTATTTCCAAACAGTTACGTCTTCGGGTCCTATAAGAAAAGACCGTACTCTTTCCTTAAAGGCCGATAACGCATAGACGGTTCAGGTAATGTTGATGTCCATGAGCGTCGGATCACTTAACATTATTCGTTTGCCCGTTTTCTTATAAATATGAGGCGACTCAGAACTTTAAAGCACAGTTGGGGCGATATGATGAAACTCCTCAGGAGAGTCACACCCAAGACTGATAGTAGTGATAAGGATAATAAGAAGGAACGCAGAGAGCAGATCGTCGCAGGCCAGAGGAGGCAGCAGACGCGGGGCGAGCGGGCGCGGGCAGATGCGGCGCGGCGGGGCGTGCCGGTGCGCGCGCGCCGCCCACTACGTTATAAGCGAGCGCAGCGTGCTCGGCCGCACAGCGTGACCGGCGCCCGAGAACGACGCTAGAGCGTGCGGTGCGACAGCGACACGTCTGCGGCCCGCTCCACTCCCGCGCCGATACCGCACTGCTATTGCGGCTCGACCGTCTCGCGAACTCTGTGCCACTCGTTATACCGTGATACGAACCGCGAAGATCGCTCCTGTGCCGTATTACCGTGCTACCGTGCTGCAGATCGATCAGCTGGCGACGATCGCGACCGCAACCGCGCTCTATACGTACGCTACTAGCTGCATGCAAAGGTAAGCGTCCTCTATTGAAAATCACTACTTATTAAAAAAAAAAAATTTTTAGATGGTTTAAAAACCAAGAAAAATAGTACCTTAAAATTATGATAAATACCTGTTTTATAGCTCGCCATACGTGTTGGGCGTTAGAAACTCCGCAGAAAATTCGTAGAAACGCTTTCCACGATACGTACCTTCATGTATTTTCCTATATAGTAAAAATTACATGTTTTCTTTTTATAATTTCTTTGACCGATTTAAATAATCTAAAATATTAACATGTTTATGAAAACTTTTTGTAGTATTGTAGGTAAGTTTTGTAAAATATCACTAACCCTCGCAAAATCGAACAACAATTTCATAGCTCGATATACGAGTATTAGATTTCTCACATAAATCTAAACGGTTAAATATAATGCTTATCAAAATTTAACCCTAATTAACCTCTCAGTGCTAATAATATGCTCTGTATTTTTTTAACTCTTATCTATTTTAGATATTAAAATAGACTTTTGTTATGCATAGTTGTTTTCAAAAGACCAACATTGTTGTATTTAGTTTACAATATGAGTATGGACACTGCGACTAATTTTATTTTAATTCATGCATTAACAATAAGACATTTTTTCTTATTGTAGCTTTATCATGAACTTAGCCACAATCCAGTGCTGGCAATAAATCAAAGTTTTTTAGACCACGCACTCTCACTGTACGTCTCTACTAAGGAGCTTGGAACCTACCATAAGTTAGAAATAACTAGGCCATAGACAACCGCGATCTACTGCCGGTTGGTTGATGATGCTATCTAAGGATTAGGATAAGGATTCTACCAACAGACAGAATTATTTGTAACTGATCTTTGCATATAATGTAATTCATAAAGCTTCATGATAAGAGATCAAAATGATAATAATTGTTAAGAGAATCAAAATAATGCATTATACCGACTTTGCTTGCTAGTTCTTATAATATTTTTTACAAATACGACCGTCGCGAATTTATGTTTTGCGTGGGGTCAACGTTTAAAGTGGGGTCGAAAGCATTCGCTCGGCCGCCGCGCCGCCGGCCACTGGCTTTACCTGTGACCTTGTCTCGCGCCAAGAGGGCTGCCTCCTTTTCAGGTTTGACCCGATTTAAACGGGTACAACAATGTGTGATCTAATCATTAGGTGTCAAGATTTTTTTCGACTTCTTTTAAAGCTTAAGGAACTTCGTGAAGAAGTCAAAAATCGATAAGACACTGGTAATTTTTATTAGCGGCTATTATTCGGGTCTAAGTTTTATGGTGGCAAGTTGACAGCCCTATTGCTACCCGGCCGTATTTCTATAATTAACTCATCGATATGCTTTCTTTTTAGGCATTCTTTATACTCTGTGTACGAAAATATTTAGTTCACTCCTGTACGAGTTTGATTTTTATTTGTATTGATTTTACTATTTCAACTTGTTTAAAATCCCATGAATTTTTAATAATATAATTGGTAATCCATTACTATCTACTTAGAGTTTTCAATAAATGTTTGCTAATTGTCTAATCTATTCGTGACATCTGAATGTTAGGTTAGGTCTTTAATTTTTTTAAATCGTAACGAGCTTGCCTATTCGCACTTTGTATAATTGTATGGGCAAAAGCGACAGGTTTTTCCAGGCAACTTTCCTAAAGAGCTAGAATATGTGATCATGGTTACCTTGCGACATGTTAAGAGAGTTACTTAGTATAATAAAATGTGTTACAAAAGTGTTCCTAGTCACAAACTTCTGGAACATACTGTTATGTAAGAAAAAAATACACTTGACCTCTTGACATACAACTTTATTGTTATTGATACGGTTAAAAAACATATTACGAGTTCAAAGAACACGTGGAGAGCATACTATTGAAGTCTCTCGTAGTAACAGCACAGATGTGTTGACGACCAATAGTCTAGGTCAGGAATGACGAACCAATGGCTAAAGCAATAATGTTACACAATCTCAATCAGATCTCAAAATCCATTCTGTAGTTTACTACAAAAACGTTTCATTTAATTATTATGTGACTAGTGATCCCTGCGCGTTGAAATATTCCTATAGTTACAAAGTCAAAAGTCAAAAGTATTGATTGATGTAAACGTCTTTGAACTCATGAGATCTTTATTTAGAAAACTGCCACGTTGATTTGTACGCCATCACTGGTCTAGGTCGATACTTCTCAAACTGTCACATATTTTTTGAAACGAAGTTCACTCGGTTGGCAACTGTATAATTATTAAATTATTGTTATCACGTTTGCTTGTTATCGTTTTATAATAAATGTTTCGTATTGAAGTGTTTGATACACTTATTACTGCAAAAATATTTCTAATATACGAGTCAATGCTAGGCTCGGGTCAAGGTCCTCGGAAAGGGTATCAAAACATATGTTGCTCTATTGTAATTACACGGAACGGACTGTAGTTAACTTTTTAAAATAATATAGCATATATTGTATTCAGGAAGTCAATAGAAAATTTTATCGATTCTAAATCGAAATCTAATCGTACAAAATAAGTAATAATATACTTGAGCTGTTTATTTTGTAATTTCATACGTAATTTTGTTAACTAATGGTCGTCCATTGGTTGAATTCGCTCATGGTCTATAATCAAACAAGTTTTTATTATTTTACATTAATTATAGCTTTATACATTTCTTTTCCTTATTTAAATTGTGTCAAATCTTACGTTCACCCGTTTGCGCAATTTCCTTAGGAGTTATATTTACAAAATGATATAAAATCTTTTGAACTTTAAAAAGGTTTAGCATCACTGGCCACTGATATACAACTTATACGAATGTTTCGGACTCTGTACCAAGTGGTAGGAGGCACTGACCGCCCGCCAAATGACAATTGTATCGGCCGATTACATACGCTTGACCCATCAAACTTTTAGCTTAGCGTAGGTCTCCATTGCCGAAATACCTGTACAATAAACAGATTTTCATTCTTTTCATTCTCTGTGAAAAAACAAAGACGGTTTTGTACATGTGTTTTTGCAGTGAAAACCCATGCTAACTGACACCGTTGTCGTAATCTATCGACGATACTTTAGACGCGCGCTTAATATAAATTAATATCCCTCGCCACTTGACTTTCTAATTAGAACTTTATTAATTAAAATGTTCTATTTGTAATTAATGTTTTAGTTAATTTTCAAAGTTAAAGCACAAAAATTGTGATAATACATTTAATCAGAAATATAAGAGTTTTAAAAACATTACACATTTTTAACTTTTGTTTTAGTTTTAAGCACTACTTTATTAAATTAAAAATTCGCTAATAAGTTTAAATTCGTAATATAAAAATAATAGAAATAATGTTTAGATTGTAATGAAACGGCCAATTATTTCTCAACCGAATAAATGCACAAAGTAAATGCAGTTTCCAGTAAGTCGTCAAATGCAATTACAAAGTTAGAATTTTAATTTGTCTTGCACATAGATAATTGAGAGGTCGCGGCATAGCAATACGGCAAACGTATAAATAATGTAATGACCAGCACATCGGATAGTGCCTAGATAAAACGAGACGCGCAACTCTAGTTGCTACGCGCGGACTTGATTACTAAATTGCCATAGGCATTCGAACGTAATGACCGTCCTAGGCAAAAATATGATCGCTTCCTTAACGGTGGATTAAAGGTGCGTTCAAATTTAGCATTAGTACATGGTACAAATCGTACAGCTATGAAGCAAGGCTGCAGGTCTAGCGAGCGAGAGATGTAATTATTCAATCGAGTGCAGTCGCACCGACGGCGACTGGGAGCCCTCCGCCTCGCACGCGGCCCGCACGTGACCGACAGTCGGACCTGCGGCGCTGGCAACTGGCAACGCAC